TCAATGAACGTTTCAGAGCTTCAAAAGCAGCAATGCTTTTTCTTTCCTGATGTTGGTCGGTAGGTGGCGCCAAAGGGAAGACCCAGCCCCAGCCAGCTGAGGTAAACTCTCTGTCTTCTAACACGTCCGGAGGACTGCTACAAACCCCGCTGAACCAGCTGTAGATTCATTACTGCAGAGAATCACCGTAGTGTCATAATGAGCGGACGAGGCAAAGGAGGAAAAGGCCTGGGCAAAGGAGGCGCCAAGCGCCACCGTAAAGTCCTCCGTGATAACATCCAGGGAATCACCAAGCCGGCCATCCGCCGTCTGGCTCGCCGCGGCGGAGTCAAGCGAATCTCCGGCCTCATCTACGAGGAGACCCGCGGTGTGTTGAAGGTGTTCCTGGAGAACGTGATCCGTGACGCCGTTACGTACACCGAGCACGCCAAGAGGAAGACCGTCACCGCCATGGATGTGGTGTACGCTCTGAAGAGGCAGGGCCGCACTCTGTACGGCTTCGGAGGTTAAATTCAGCCCGTTGATCACAGCGAACCAAAGGCCCTTTTCAGGGCCAACAACTGCTGCTTATGGGCCAAAGGGACTTGTTCAGATGTGACTAAAGTCTTGCGCTATTTTCAGTTTAAGTTGGAATGAAGCCAACCATGTTGGCTGAAAACTAGGCGGTTTTATTTCATATAACGTCAGGTATAAAAAGTATATATTTAAATAGTTAATATCCATAGAGCTCAATTTAGCAGTGAAAATCACCTCGTGTGGGGAGACCAGTTTTAAGTAGCGATTTCTTTGAACATTTGTTAAAAGAACATTATACTTTCTTGCCGAACCTCTTGGCATGTTTTAGATTTTCCCCTGGTTTCAGATAAAGCCAGCCAATAAAAAGCCTCTAATCAGCTATCAAATGCGCTGATGAATCTAAAACTTGTAGAGCAGTGTGCCTTGAGGACCCAGACTGAGAATCACTGCCGCATGTTTTATATTTATTACACTACCGTTTTCATATGAAACATGTTTGTTTCATTAACTCGCCAGTTAGTTGGTTTCAATTAAAATTACTGGTTAAGAATAAAGAAATGCTGAGAGAAATGCATGTAAAGGTGTAGGAAACACTCTGCTCTTTAGTGTTGTAGTTCTGCTGTGTTTTATTTATCTCTGTGAAACCCTCATACATTATATAAGAGGTCTGAACGTGAAAATTTTCAGTTCTTCGTCCCGCCGTTTTCGTTCTTCAGTTAAATCAGGCGCAACATTTGAAACTAATCATCTTCCTGTCGATCTCAGCCCCGCCCTGCTTGCTGGCTCAGCCAATCACAGTCAGGCGGCGGTACTGACGGATTTCCTTTCGCTCTGTATAAGAGCAGCTTCCCTCCGCTGCTGTTCACTCTTTGCTGTGACCTCAGAGAGAAAACATGCCCGAACCCGCCAAGTCTGCGCCCAAGAAGGGCTCCAAGAAAGCGTTCACCAAAACCGCCGGCAAAGGAGGCAAGAAGAAGAGAAGGACCAGGAAGGAGAGCTACGCCATCTACGTGTACAAGGTGCTCAAGCAGGTCCACCCCGACACCGGCATCTCCTCCAAGGCCATGAGCATCATGAACTCGTTCGTCAACGACATCTTTGAGCGCATCGCCTCCGAGGCTTCCCGTCTGGCTCACTACAACAAACGCTCCACCATCAGCTCCAGGGAGATCCAGACCGCCGTGCGCCTCCTGCTGCCCGGTGAGCTGGCCAAGCACGCCGTGTCCGAGGGAACCAAGGCGGTCACCAAGTACACCAGCTCCAAGTAAACCTGCTGCTGCTGCTGCTGCTGCTGCTGCTTGGACACAACAACACAACGGCTCTTTTAAGAGCCACACACCAACACTCAAGGGCTACACTCCTGTTACCTCAATGTGTCTGGTTTTCAAAAC